GGTGCAGGCTCCTTGGTGGTAGTGGGAGGTTGCTCCTTGGGGGTGGTGGGTGCAGGCTCCTTGGTGGTAGTGGGAGGTTGCTCCTTGAGGGTGGTGGATACAGGTTTCTTGGGGGTGGTAGGTGCAGGCTCCTTGGGGGTGGTGAGAGCAGGGGCTTTGGTTGTAGTTTCAGCTTTGGAGGCAGGTTTAGCAGGCACTTCAGATGTGGGTGCTACATCTTTAGCAGATGTTTTCTCTGCACTTTGTGTCTCTTTAGCCGAAGTAGTCTCTTTTGCACTAGTTGAAGTCTGTTTGTTTGTTACAGTAGTCTCTTTAGTTTTAGCTGTTGTTTCTTTATTGGCTGTCAAAGATGTCTCTTCAGATGTATCAGAATTAGGCGGAAGAGTGGACTTAGGGTTTATTGGTTTTGCTGTTGTAATCTTGGGAGATGTAGTAACTTTATTGCGTTGGGTGGTAGGAATGTCAGGAGTTGGAGTGAGCTTAAAATCACCATTATCCGGGCCACTTCCAGCTTCATCTTCAGCTGGTGTTTCTGGGGTAGGTTTCTTTTTAGGAGTTTTTTTCTTGTTATCTTTTAATAGAGGAAAAAATAGACATCTTGTTATTTTAGAATATTTTTTTCCTTTAATAGTGACCTAAAGATCCCATGTTTATCATTGACTAGTTGTGTGTTTCTCAGCAAATTGCTAACCTCTAATATATCCATTAACTTATTGTGAAATGGCAAATACTCAACCAATCTTATTGGGCTGAATGATGTAAGGGATAAAAAGTACAAGTTAAACCCTATACAATTAATACATGGAAGTTCAGTGGCAATATTGAAATTAACAACATGATCAGTAACACTAATTCATCTCTTTATATAATGTTCTTTACCCCTCACTTTTTCTACTCTTCTTGTTCCTCAGTGCCCAGTGCCCTTTCCTTCCTCCCTCCCTCCCTTCCTCCCTTCCTCCCTTCCTTCCTTCCATCCATCATTCCATCCTTCCTCCCTCCCTCCCTTCCTTCCTTCCATCCTTTCATCCTTCCTTCCTCCCTCCCTCCCTCTCTTCCTTCCTTCCTTTCTTTCTTCCTCTCTTCCTTCCCCCGTTCCTTCCTTCCACCATCTCCTAGTCACACTGTACCAATTACCTTACAGGCCTCTTCAGCCAGCTCTGAGGAAATCTCCTCCAATCACCCCCAAAGTGCCTGCTGAGCCCTGTTCCCATACCTAGGCCTATTAGCTTCTCTCTTTCCTCTGCTTAGCTAAACTTGACAGTCCCTGGAGACATAGGGAGGAGATTACGATGCCATGGCAGCAGAAAGACCCTATTTTGCAGAATTTCCCATAGCAGCTACCCCATAGGAGAACTGCAAAGCCCAAGGGGCACATCACTGAGATGAATTCCATTTAGCCAACATGTATTACACTTTCATTGTGTGCAAGATTTTCTGGATGACTAAGATTAAATATCTGGCTATTCAGCTAGAGAGAATGCTTCAGAGGAAATCACAACCACCCAGGAAATGAGTTCTTCAAAACTCTATTATCCAAAATCCAGTATTTTCTGGAGAAAGAGAATATATTTTAGAACTTCAGGAAATAATAAAGAGAACAAAGGGAATCTCCTTTCAGGCAATAATAGCCTACTCTGTGGCACATTCTCTACTAGAGAAAAATCAGCCAGATATAATTTCTAGGAAAATAATAAAGAGGATCTATAAAATGTGGATGATATTGCCCTTCTTAGAGGTTTATGAGAATTTAATGGATTAATATTTGTAAAAACACTTAAGCAGTATGTGTTTAAAAAAATTAAAAGAAGGCTGGGGAGGGGAAAATGAAAACACAAGATAGAGGAAGGGGAAGAAAGCAAAATGCTAGCAGGTAGACAGGGATTGCAATAGACACCATAAATGATCATCTCTGGTGACGGCCCGTGGTTCCACAGTCGCTGCCTATCCTTTGCTTTTCAGAGTGGTTTCTCAGCTCTTTGGCACTAATTTCCTGTAGGAAGCATTCATTTGGTACTTTCTAAGATAATTTTTATAAAGTTATATACCCGCCCCCATATTTTGAGATAGTCTTATTCTAGCAACACACATTACTTTTAAATAATCATTGTTAATACGGCATTGATATAGTCTTGGATCTTTATCAATGCTCAAACCTTTGGGTTTCTTCTGTAATTCTCTATTAGCAGCTGAATTTTTGGAAGACTTGACTTTCCGAATAGTTGAGGAAGAAGAGGAAGAGGAGGAGGAGGAGGAGGACTCTTGATTTTCAGAAACAGAATGTTCTATAAATCAAATAAAAAAGGTTGATCACACCAACTGTGATTTAAAACAAAAAAGAACCGCCAGTCCAAATGCAATAAGAAATGCTGTTTACTGATCTACAAATATCTGTGTTCTGCTTTTGTTTATAAATAACATGATGAACTGCCGTTTTGTCAGTTAGAAGCAAGGAACCTGAGCTCATCACAGATATCAGCACTACAACTAGTATCTCTCAACTGTACCATAGTTGCCAGAATTTCTCACAGAATCTAATTATTCTGCAAAGAAAATCATGGGATTGTTTTTATATTTGTTTTTTACAATAACATTTGTCCCTTCTGATTTTTTTTAATCCAGACCAATGCTAGGTTTGGTAAATAAGAAAGACTATAAATAACTGAGGGTTTACAATTTGTTTTAAACTTTGACTTAAAGCAAAGTCAAAAAAAAGTTAACGGGTAATGAGCCTTTCATGACTCCTAAGATCACCCTGTTCTCTGAGAACGGTCTTATTCGGCTAAGAAATAGCTTCCTTTTGTTGCATCTGTCATCTTCCTACCTTCTGTTATTTCCTCTGATTCTACAACTTTCTTAGTCTTCTTCTTGTCTGGTGATTTGGGTGAACGTTTGGTTGTTGATTTGATGTTTTGACGTGCTCCTGGAGGCGGAGGTGCAGTCTTTGAAGATGGAGGTGATGTGGGATTATGCACTGAGGCCAAGCAAGACAGGTGAGTTAACATCTTGGTTATATTCATCAGCAACCCTAACTGTGAAAAGCACGGATGCATCTGGCTTCAAGAGCAGACGCTGGTGAAAGCCCCTGCGGGCAGGCTTCAGCACAGCACTAACGGCTCCAAGCCGATTCACGCTGAGGATGCATCGCTATGAAACACTGGTTCTCAAATCGTAAGTATGACAGAGAGCAAAGTCTCAGGAATCAGAAAACCTGAATTCCAGTCCTAGGTCTACAAGCCTCTATCACCGTGACCTTGGGCAAATAGGCTAACTTCTCTTGAATCTCATTTTTCTTGTCTGCAAACAGATGTTTATTCAAGATGGTCTCTGAAGGTATTTGCCTGCCTCAAAAATACTTAATTCTATAAGCATCGTCTTCTGTAATTATAAAAATAATACTGCATGTGGATGGCAGGATACTTATGCTCTTGAGAAGAATATAATTACATTTTTCCTGTTTTCATATTCATTTAAATCAAATGATATGAATTTACCTTTCAGTTATTTTTTAATTACAAAAGTTCTGTATGGATATTTATTCTTGTGAAAATTTCACACCTTCACATTATGCTTTTCTTCAAAATGTGCTTCCCTTCCAAAGCTAAGCAGCCATTAATATTGTGGTGTAAATCTTTTTAACTTTTTATCCCCTTCACTCCTACCCCTTTTCATGTCTAAAAGAGAAGACATACAGCATTTTTTGATCATTAGAAACCAGAAGAAAAGAAGAGGGACTTCGGAAAGATAAGAAAACAGCAATGAGGACTCTCTGGTACAGAAGAACTGTGATAAATCCTGCTCCTCCCAGCAAACATCTGCCAGAACTTGATTGCTCTAGACTCCATGAACCGACCACTGTACTTCTTTCTCCTCCCACCTAACAAAAGCATCAGTTATCTCAAACAGCTCTGCCATGCCGTAGCTAACGCTCTTGGGCAAATCAGTTAGTTAACCTCTTGAACTCAAGTTTTCTCACCCACATTCCGAGGCACTTGGACAGCTATGATTCCTTCAATTCTTGAAATGCTTTGGTTTGTAGGTAGTTGCCTACAAGCCGTATTTATACTGAAACAACTAAGTGGTGAGTCTCAAAATAGTTTAAAAAATGAAGTCCTGAAGCTCTGGGTGGTTCCATTATTTGGGACCCTGATTGTCTGATGATTTCTGTAAATGAAGTTGCCTGGCATTGCCTTCATCACTTTTTTTCACTGAGTTCTTCCTAACCCTCGGGTAATCTGACCCAACACTTCACAGCATAAAGTATTGTCTTTACTAAAGTGTTCTCTCAGTGCTTCATCACTCTCCAGTCATCTTCCCTCCCCACCTATTCTCTGCCCAAAATAAATTCTAGTTTTTTGTTTCGCAGCCAAAACAATTATCAGGGTAATGAGTAAATATGTATCACTCATCATGGGGCCTTCCAAAAGCTGCAGGAATGTTGAGCTCTGAGTTGGGCTTTTTTTTTTTTTTTTTTGGGTAATCATTAAAAATTATTTCATCAATGTGCTGGCTACACATGTGGCCTTAGTTAATGTTACAAGTGCTTTTTCCCCTTTTTTGGGTGTTTTTTTTTTCCACCTGGTTTCATGAGCCCTGAGTTTTGATTACAAGGGTGTTGTCTTCATTATTTTTGGAATGCTTTCCAATGGAAACACTGAACAGTTAAGAAACATCCTCAACACTGCCGATTAACAGTTTTTCTCTGTTTTTCCACTGTTTTAAAGGAGTGCAGCCTTGTTTAAAAGTGCAGCCTTGTTTAAGTAAAATGATAAGATTGTGCAAGCAAGACTTATTTTCACTTTTACCTCCACAAATATTCTCATTTTAACAAAGGATTTAAGACAAACATTCGATACAAGAAAATAATTCATTATCTAAGTATATTTTTTAAATCTTGTTTTTGTAACAAGTGGAGGGTTTTGTTAAGATCTCAGACCATAACGAGAGAGGGGGATCTGAAGTGGAGCTGTCCTTTGATTGTCACGCACAGGCGCTTGCGCAGAGACTGCTGAGGGGACATAGAGATGGGAAGGAACATACAACTGACAGTTGACTTCTTAGCAGATTTGCCCGAAACTAGTGGCTTAAACTAATTCACAAATTTACTTGTTTAGAGAAGCTAAAAGTGTTGATTCTATCCTTAAATATACACTCAAACATGGAGGCCAAAAGCACAGACAGCGCAAAGAACAGTTGACTTTGTGAAATCAGCAAGGGTGAGACAAGAAATCATCCAATGAGTTGATTACTGTTGATTTAACCTGAAATTGAACCACATCGAAAGAAAAAAAGCATGTACCCTCTGTCCCTTCCTCTCTGTGACTGAACCACAGTCTCCCGTGCTCCCGGAGCCTGGGTGAGCCAGGGGCTGCTATTGTTGGAAGATGCTTTTCTTCTTTAATTCATCTCCGTGAAACAAAATTATTGTGAAATAGTTGATAAGTTAGTAAAATCAAGACCTTAGATGGACTGCACGTTAAAGCATGTTAAACGTCATCAGTGAGGCTCGGGTAGGTGGGCAGAGCTGAGAGACAGTGAGTGGTATCGCGAGCTTACCTTCTGCACAGAAATCGCCGTAGTCGGAGCAGCACTTGCCATACTTCTCACACTGGGAGTCACAGTCACACTCCCTTCCTCTCGCAAAGGACTCAAAGCAGCGGCCTTTACAGGAAAGCTCTACCCAGAGCACAAGAAAACATTGCAGATTATTACGCGTGAAGCCCTACCCAGGTGCTTGGTAGCCATTTCTCATTTTATAGCTGACTAGAGTTCCAACAGCGCGTTCCTAAGTCTTTCATTTGGGATGTGGAGTACATGATCCAGTTAAAGATGCATGGGGTCCCAAATGAAGGCAGCCCAAGTCGAGAAAGAAATATGGTGACTTAGAGTGACTTTTCTTGTCCTTCAAGGTTCCAAAAGACACCTCAGTACTACCTGAGTCATGTGTATGTATGGACAACAGAAAATTGGGAAATGTCTGAACAGTGAAGGGACTTCACGTGAAATCCCTCCATCCTCTCCTCCCACCACCGCTTTGTAATAGATTTATATTAATTGAATATTCAGATCTCATGGCAATATATTCCAAAGAGCTGGATTAATATAAATGGGTCACTATTTGGACTTGAAAATTATTTATAATGCAGAGAACTTTATGATGACAAGCTAGGCAAAGTGTAGAGATAAGAGACTTCGGTCTAATCCCATGGTATGGACTGTATAACAGAGGCCTGCTCATTTCAAAAAGAGCCTTGGTTGGAGGTACAGTGACTCACCAAGGCCTGTTAGAAATAATTACCTTATCCAACACACAAATTGTGCAACAATATATTTATCAGTTTCACATGCAAATTGTAAAGCAAATATTAACTCTAAATAATTTTAACTATAATTTTCAAAAATTGCATATGAAATATTTCTGTGTTAATAAGAAAATGACCCAAAATATGTTCACGTGAAATACCACCCATAATTTAAAATTCGGACCTTTGGGTTTTAACTCAAACTCATCATTCAATACTTATAGAGCCTTTTTCAGGTAATTTAGAAACACGTTAATATCAAAAAGTCAAATAGTAGACAAGACTATTCTAGGCTATGAATTCTTTTGACGAACTTACTGAAAGGCTCCATCCCTAAGCAATTACATTTCTGATTATTAGTAAATAATTACCCACTACTAACTACTTAATGTCTCCTGAGTCACAGTGTTGTCTCGATTTCAAACAAGACATTTTACTTGAACTAGTCAATAACCTTGTGCAAGTGACAGATTTCCAGGCTCCTCTTACCCTCCCCCCGTGATCACAAGCCTGGACACCATCCTTAGGGACAGAGCACCGCAACATTTATGCAAGTGAAGGGAAAGGCACGTAAGTAAGTAAGGAAGCAAAATAGTGGGAAAACAGCACTGCGAGGGGGTGTCAGGGGTGCTCACAGAGCAGTGTTGCTGACGGAGGAGGAGACACCAGCTCTCAGCACTTACCCACGGTGCAGACTCTCTTGAAATCAGGGCAGCACTCCATGTAGTGTTGACAGTTATAGTCACAGTTGCAGGTGGCATCTCTAGAATACCCTTCCCCACATCTCCCTGCACAGCTTGATAAATCTAAAATTATACAATACTAGCGTAAATATGGCCAGACCACTTCACAGACAGGGACAGATCTAACGAGGGGGACAAAGCCACTTTAGTGAGAGGGAATCTTATCAATTGGGGAGATGTTGGAATGATGGTTAGCAACAGGCCCAGCCGATAACTGGCTGATCTTTTACGTGATCTTGATCATGTCACTTTATTCTTCACTAGGCTTGCGAAGATAAATAGGCTTCTGAAATCGGGCAAAGTAATGGCTCTGCATAAAGAGAGTGACATTCCTAACGGAGACGTGGCTATGGCTATGACGATTACTAGTTGCCATTTATTGAGCATCTCTGTGCCAGGTACCGAGTCAAACATTATCTCTAATGCTTATGAAAATGTTTCCAGGAGGGTATTAGTAGCCCCTTTTTAGAAATAAGGAAGCTGAAACACAGAAATTTTAATAACTTGCTCAATGGCACACAGCTAACTAATAGTTCTAGTATATCTGTATTATAGGTCAATTAATACCTATTAATTATTTGTACTGATTTCTTTTATAAGTGCCCTGATTTGGATAATAAATTATATAGTCATCTTACGTAAACAGTCCATCCAGAATTTGGACTCTGATGTATCTGACTCTAAAGCCCAAGTTTTTCCACCCAATTACATTGCCTCTCATTCCTGATGCTGAGTTTAAAGCAGGCTGGTTCTGCCAGCACAAACGTTACTAGACATTCTCCTCCTTTAGTGATGGAGATAACCGGATACTTTAAATGTTGGGGACGCCAGATGCTTAGAACCACTGCTAAAGTTAGTACGAAATAGAGAACTCTTGAAATAGCATCTGGACCTGCATATAAAGGTCATGAATGGAGTTTTTCTGGGCAGAAGACAAACAATAACAAAAGCACAATTATCCTCTAAGTTTTTTAAAATAAATCTTGGAAAACGACACCTTAAAAACCTCCCTGAGAGTTAACTGCAGCAACGTAACAATGGAATCCATCTCTGGAATAGAAATTGGCAGATGCAATGTCTTAAATCCATAGAGGAATGTTGAAACACACTGAAAAAAAAAATCTCAAAAGAATAGAGTCCAGGAAAGTTAAAGTCTGAATATGCAAATAAAACAGTAAATAGTAGGACAACCTTCAGATCTTTTTGCATGCATATATGCATAAGACATATGAGAATGAATATATAGTGTATGTATATAAATACATATATTATATATAAAGAAAAAAGAGAATGAGAAGAGGTTGAGAAAGCAAGAGAAGCAGACAACACAACATCAAAAGAGTGTTCTTTTACAGTTGGCAGATTTCTTAAATAAGAAATCTGTTATCTTTACAGGAAAAGTTTATTTTCATAGATTAAATGTCTATCCTACTTTTGTTGCTGTTAATTTTAACCAGTAACTTTAATTTCATTTATTTAAAGGAAAGTAAAACTGTTTTAGTGAAAAACTGATTGTATTACAGAGGAAAAGGTAATTTAGGAAATGCACCCAGTTTTGTGAGCCTTGTAATGACATTATGAGAGAGCTGAAGGATCTGACATCCAGAGTAGTCATAATTCCTTATTAAATATTCACATTCGCTTTCATGTGTTTTTCCATCTTTTCTTATCTAAGCAATTCTGCAACTATGCCTACGCAGGCAGTTATCTCCCATATTCAGGTTTCACAAGAATTTTAGTTATTTTACTGGAAATGTCTACTTTAGAAATGTAATTTCACCATAACAGTCATGAATCTTGATTTTTCTTCTCTCAGATTTTGCTTATCAAAGGAAAAAAAAGGAAAAAGAAAAGAAAGATATCTTGGCGTTGTTACACTGATCAATCCAGATCACATGCAAGCAACTTTTGCTAATGCGATTACACTGAATGTACTTTAACATTCTTTAAGAATGAATAACAAGAACTGTTCATCCAGGACTGACTCTGTTTTGGGAGGTCCATGAATGGTTCAATATTATAACACAAAATCACAGTCACATCCGTATAAGTCTATATCTGAATGAATAGTCCTTATAGTAAAGAGAGAATACTTTCAAGATTAATAAAATGCCATTTGAAACATTGTAAATGTTCACTATAATATCTATGTCTACATGATGCCAAAATAAGTTATTTGTCATTAATTCACTTAATGTAAAAGACTAGTTAAATTTGTCACCATATAGGCAAAAATTACATGATAAATATTCTTCTTTTAGTTATTTTGATGATATTGTACAGCTCCAGCATAGTTTATCATATGTCTGCATTTTTTAAACTTTTTGAAGAACCATAGGAATAATGAATACCATAATTATTCTGTACAAAAGCTCAAAAATTCTTGAAAGTTTTCATAATGCAGAAGAAAAAGGTGAGAATTACAAATCACTTATAAATATGCTAAATATGTTTCACATTTTATTAAGGTTATACTACATATTAAACTCAAATATCAATTTTTAGAAATTTATTTCATTTGTTAAAAATCAAGACAATGACTAGCAATAGTTGTTAAGTAAAAGTATTTTTGATGGTTAAGTTACCTTGAGATGAAACTTGCTGAATCAAAAAAACAGAAAGCAGCAGCAAGTAAATGGGAAGTATTTTCCACTCCATGGTTGTTTTCAGGTACTGCACCCTTCTTTAAAATAAAATACAAGTATCAGAAAACTGCTCTTTTATCTCACCAGTAACTTTTGCTTGTGTGACACACAATGTTTTAATAACTTTGAAATGTAATTTAATAATAAAAACATCCCATTCTTGAAACAAGTCTTTTTAAAGTAATTCTGTAGAAAATATCTGACCATTATATTCACTCTTATGCAGAACAAATCATCATTCCCCTCAGTTATGTTATTGACCATTTTAATACTTTAGAAACAGCCAACATAGAAAACAGACTTACCTTAAAACTCTATTCAAAGTATAGCATATACTTACAGTGCAAGGTTTAATTTCTATCTTGGGGGAAAAAAATAACTGGCTTCAGTAAAATTTAATTTAACAAGCATAGTGGAGTTATTGTTCCAACTTTCCCTTTACCCTCAATATAAATTGTAAAAGCTTCCAACAGGTGTATTGCATAAATATAATCTTTTTAAAAATTTTTCAGCTACTGTCCTTATAAGTCTTTTTCAAATACCTTTAATGAAAACACATTTAATTCTATGAAGCAAGTTAACTTTGACACTTACCGGTAAATGGCCAGATGAATTTCTCCAATGTGCTGCAAGTCTTATATATCAGTGCAAATATATTGGGATGAACCAATTAGTCCAAAGGTTAGACAAAATCAACAGTGACAACCTATGAAATCAAACTTTCCTCATGTGTTGGAAGTAGGCCCAGACGACTAGACTTAGGCAACATCTGGAAAACACTTCCATTAAGAAAAATGACTACTACAAAATAAATTTAGATTTATTGGCTAAAACATTTCTAATTTCTAAGTGAAGTGAACAAGTTGTTCTGAGATGGTACATCACGCTGGCAGGCTTTGAATAGTATATAGAAGCAGCAACTTTAAAATAGTGAGATCCTGGTATCATTCCTTTTTTTCATTTTTTTTTTTCCCAGTTAAATCCAGCAAAGGTGGCTTTGAAACTTATCTAATGTTACCTCGTGGCATAAATTTCCTGAATTTATAGCATTAAATCAAATGTACCTTTCTTTTCTTGAGTATTTTCATTTTCACTGAACACAGAAAACATGCTCTCAATTACCTACAGGTGAATTATCGACACTGTGGATTTTCTAGCTTCCTTTACTATGCTAAAAACCTGCTTCAAAACTGTATTGCTATTTCCCTTAGCCCCTTTATTTAAGAGCACCAGTGTTTGGAAAAGGTCTTTTAAATTACTAATTTATTTTTCTCGCCATGGAGAAAATGTGAACCATCAACCTTGCAGAGCTAAGTTAGCTCAGCTCAAGGCTTTCCCCCATTTTGATATGGAATGTTCCTGTTTAAATCTCACCCACCAACATAAGGCCTCACTCATCAAGTCCTAGCACCTCCCTGAAACCTTCCTGGGTCAATCTAAATCGCCTCTAGAATTATAGTCAACAAATGTACTACATTTTATTGAAAGTATCTGTCCATCTGTCTCCCACCCTCAACAGACTGTGATTTCCCTAAGGACAACCAACAGCTGGATCTTAACTCTACTGCCAGCATCTAGTCCAGGGCTTCACCAAAGTTCTGTGTTCAATGCATGTTTGGTGAAACGAATTATTGTTGTAGCCTCGACTCTGCTATGTACTATGAATTTTGTAGGTACTGCATTTAATTATCACTAAATGCCTTTGAGTTAAATATAATCATCCACATTTTACAAATAAGAAGTCGAAGAGCCACAAATGAAGGGTTTGTGACCCATCCAAAGAACCAGGAAGACAAGGAGCCAGAACCAAGATCTGAGCCCATTTCTTTGCATGTTAAGTTCCATCATGTTTCCACTATCCCCGGCTCCCTTTTCATCAAAACCATCACTTCGGTATGTAATCATTGTGCTAAATTTTAGTCCATCATGTGTATACATAGGTTTACGAGATTGTGACCTTCTTAAGGACAGAAATTATAATATAAGCATCTCTTTTGTTTCCACGGATTCTTATTTCTGGGCTAAATATATAAAAGAAATTTAAAAGCTATCTGCTCACTTCTTAATAATCCCCTTTCTCTGGGAGCTACTTCCCCATCTATAGGGATACTTTCCTTTTGGCTCTGGTTATATATGTTATCTTGCCACATCAGCGACAGCTGATAGGATTAGGAGTAGAAACCTGAACTAACCTGGGCCGATATGTTTCCCTTTCCTGGAAATTCGGAAATATGATTCAGAGATTACAAGCCTGTCTGCCTATGTAGACCAATAACATGTACATGTTCTAAAGAAGTAGAAAAAGTCCTTCAGAATAAAGAGGTGATTATGAATGAAGCAGCCATGCAGACAGAGAGATTTCTGGTGACTTTCTGTGTCTTGGTTACTCTGTGTTTTAGACCCAACCTTTTGCTCTTTATCGTCACAGCAAATTCTCCCTTTGGAGCTGAAGCTAGCTAAAGATGATTTTCGCTACTTAAGATCACACATCAATGAATAGTAGATATACAAAAGATCCTGTTGGATGGAGTTGAACAGAGTTCTCTTAATTCTTATCTATGCTGAGGTCAAGACGGGGAAGCTGGAAGCTCTGTAAATTTTTCAATCCAGACCTGTACAGTGTTGCATTATTATTTGTTTGGAATATTGGGAATACCCAGATCAGATACAAATATACACACAGACACATATTTTTAAATAAAATATAAGTTGCTTTCTGATTATTGCCTTT